ACAGACTGGGTTGTGTGTTTGTGTTTTTTTTCTTTCTGCTCTCTCTCTCTCTCTCTCTCTCTCTCTCTCTCTCTCTCTCTCTCTCTCTCTCTCTCTCTCTCTCCCTCTCTCTCTCTCTCTCTCTGTTCGGCTGCTGCAGTGTTGGGCCTTACCTGCTGACTGGGCAGAGTGAACTCCAACAGAGATGGGGAGGGTAGAAAGGAGATAAAAAGGGGAGCGGAGAGATATTCCGGCATATATGGAGACAGGATATAAAGAGGAATATGGAGGAGGGAGGCAGGAGAATGAATGAGAGAGCATGAGCGTGAACGACAGCCCCACCCCGTGATCTCTACGGCACGCTCGTGGATCGAGTGACACTCCACCTCGCTCCGTCCCTGCGTCCGCAATCACCACAGCATCAGCTTACTGGACTGCAGTCAGACGGCATTCTGGGTAACCTGCCACTGCTTTACTGACGGAGCCAAGAGATGACAGGCAATACAAACCAGGAGCTGCTTGTAGTTACATGAACAGAGCGCTTTAAAATATTCAGAGCGAGAAAATAAGACCTGGTTTCTCTTGTGAAAATGGAGTACACTTTAGCATACTTCTAAAAAGCACTCATCACCATCCCACTCGACACCATTTCATTTTATTTAAAAATGTAGGTTAGATAAACAAAAAATGACCCACATTTAGCTTTTAATAAAATTAAAAAAATAAGTTTTCATTGTCTTCATGGTTTCTTTAATAGCCACATTTTCAGCCCTTGTGTAAAAGAAGTACACTTTAGCACACTTTAAAAAGAGTACTTATCTAAAAAAAATATTAAGAAGGAAATATATCAAATATATTTAAAAGAATATACTTAAGTGTGAACTGAATTTAATGTTTTGGAAATTTAAGTGCATGTTATTTACAATTAAATCAAAATGTTTTATAGTTTACATTTATATTAAATTAAATGCAATTAGTTGAACATCTTTATATGCAATTTCATAATTACTTCTATTGTCTTGAAATATGGTTAAAGTGTACAAGCATTTATGATCGACTAAAATATGCTTTATTGTCATTTTAACGGAATGTGTGTTGTGTATTTAAATATATTTGTAATGATAAAGTTGCAATTTAGTTCATTTAAAATATATTGATTTAGTACATAATTTGTTAATTTAGAACATATATTAATATAGTACATACAAAATATATATTTGATAACTGTTTTAAGAAGAGACTCATCTTTTAATGCTGTCTTGTCATTGAGTGTATTTATTTTTTTATTTCTTATTACTTTACTGTTTTTATTGCTATGATTTTATGCTGAGTAGAGCTTTGGGTTTAAGAAAATTATTATTAATAATAATAATAATAATATATTAATATTAGATTATTATTATCATATTATATATTCAGTATTATATTATTATTATTATTCAAATGTAATTTCAAATAACATTACACTTACAATTATAATCAAGTACTTTATATGTACTTTAGTAGGTTAGCAAAAAACTAAATAAGTGTACTTCTTTAAAGCATTACTTCTTTAAAGCATTAATGATTTCAAATGTACTTTAAAAAAAAGTGTACTTAAATGTGTTAAGAATCATAGTCATGAAAGTATTCTCTCTTTAAGTGCACTTAAGTTAATTAATATTACATTATCTGCAAGTACAGTTTTAAAAATATATGAAGAGTTCATTTGCAAAAACTGATAACTCCATTTTTATTTTATTTTTCAGAAATCACGTTTTTTTTATTGCGCATTGCAAGTAATATCAATCAAACTGCAGTTGGGTTGTTTTGATTAAGTAATAATAACTTAAACAAATACAGGTAATTTACAAAATGAAAGTTCAAGTATGTTTTTTTTTTACATATTAAAAGTTTGTTTTATAGCAAAAGCAGATAACTCCAAAAGTCGTTTTTTTTGGCAAAAGCCGATAACTCCACATTTCATGTTTTAGAGTTAAAAAAAACACTGGTTTAATCTTTGTAAGCTCCTCAGATGAGAATGTAGATGCCTGACAAACGTTGTTGTTGTTGTGATCATAAACTGTATGGATGTGATTACACGCAATACACAGAGCTTTTCCTTCTCCACTGTAACGCGCTGCTTTTGCAAGCTTCCGTGAAAACGTTTCAGCTTTTATTTTCCTTTTTCTCCCTGAAGAAGATATCACATGTTCATCAAGTTCGTCGAAATTATCCATCCTCCATCACTTTAAATCAGCTTTGACGAAACTCCTCTCAGCTAGCACGTCTTTTGTGAAAGTAGCCTTGTCACCTGACCTGAATACAGCGCGCTGATTCGCTCAAATGGACTTATCGGCTTCTGTTCAAAAACAACAAGGCGCTTGTCATCTTTTGCAGTAAAACGTGAACTCGTGATGCCTTGAAAGTGGACAAAACCAGCTTTTTTTGACGAAACGTGTTTAGGGTTCAGATCGCGTTATATGTGGAGGATAATGCACGGCAATCAGCTCTTTTTTTTTTTAAAGTGGCGTTTATCGGTTTTTGCAAATGAACTCTTCATATATTTTTAACACTTGAAGTAGACATTCGATACAAGCAAGGACACTCTTTTTCACAGGGTAGTCCTTGGTTGAAGTCAGATGAAAACTTGGCAGAGTAAATGAATAATTTAACCAAAAATTAAAATGATGTTTATTAAATTCATTAGCAAAATGCCATCTCAAACCACAAAAAGAAAGCTTTAGCACACTTCCCAAGCTGTTCTTCTTCACACAATGACAGCATACAGACAGGGGCTGCAGAAAACACCATAAAAGTGAACCACACCAATGAAGCAGGTGCTTGTGAGCAACCTACAGAAATTAAAAATGAGAAATCGGTCACCCTATGGTCTTTATAGTCATATGCATACTGCGGCCATTGTAAGTACACATGACGTGACTGTGAGCCATTTAGGACAGAGCCTTTGACTCAGCTGTATTCTGCTAACTGCACTGCTATCAGTACTGCATACATACCTACAGAATGTAATGTAGGTATTGACAATCGGCCATAGAGACACACAGGCACCACACAGACAGTGATCACACACTCAGCAGGCACCATAAAGGGTAGACAGGGATCAAACACCCCCCACAGGGTCCAAACATGGCCACCTCTTTACAGATCAGACCGCATCAGATCACATAAATCCATTGCTAGTCAATGATAGCATAGAGATCAGAGATCAGTACACTCTCTTAAAGTCAGATGAGGCCCTCAAAAAGTCCCAAAGCAGTCTGAAGAAATCCAAGCGACTCTCACCTGGAAGCGGAGGATGATGGTCCAGATGAGGCCGAGAGTGAGGCGGTGGTTCCCATCAACTATATCATGAGAACCAACATTTTCTAGATGAACCCTCTGTTCTTTGAGGAACTGAAGAGCCTTATCCACATTCTCCAAACAGTGAATCCTCATCCTGCCTCTCGTGGGCCGAGGCTTGAAACAAGAAAACAAGAACGTGTCACAAACACGTGGGCTCGAAACTTCCTGTATTCAACCTTTGAAAGACAATTAATAAAGCAGAGCTTCTATCAAAATAGAACAGCAAAAGTACAAGTGATACTAGCAAGCAATGCTAATAATTAGTGATGCACCGTAATTCTGGCTACCAAAAATATTTAAACGAAACAGCTAAATAAATAAAAAAAGTTTTGTTTTTAGCTTTGGAGGGCAAAAATCATGGACCGAAACTGTACTCCATAATGCAATATAAGTTGCTTTGGAAAAAAGCATCTGGCAAATGCATAAATGTAAAACCTTTGGGTGGAAAAAGGTTGTTCAGATGGTGTTTTCTGAAGAAACGGAGAACTCACCAGCAGCTCTCCTGACAGCACCTCCAGCAGTCTGATGAGCATGTATCCGTCTCTCAGGTCATTATACAGGTCAGAGATACGGCAGGACACACGGGCCAAGTGAGAGTTTACCCACTTAGTAAAGGTTTTCTTCTGGACTGCGTCCCTCTCATCTGGTAGAAAGAGAGAGTCAAACAACAATGCATATATTTTAGTGGTGTCAAAATTAGCTATAAAAGTAATTTTTTCCTCTTTTATTTAATTAAATACAATTTAATATTTATTTTAATATTATTTAATATTTTTAACGCGTTAAACTGAAAAAATGAATCGCCTTTGTTAACGCGTTAAAAATATTAAATAATATTAAAATAAATATTAAATTGTATTTAATTAAATAAAAGAGGAAAAAATTACTTTTATAGCTTTATGGATTCATCTATATTTAATTTAGAATTTAGTGTTTGATAACTTCAATTTCAATTTCTGTATATTTCTGTTGAAGGGCACACAGGTAAATATGACATTTATTATAATGGGTTTATGTGAAGATTGTTTTAAGTTCACTTACATTAGAAGTTATTTTTAAAAGTGTAATAAATGTTAAAATTAATAGCTCTCAATTATACTGTAATGTTGAATGGCTATAGTAAATGGTTAAATATTTTATAGAGAAATCCGTATTGGTATCATTGATACTGGCCTTCAGTCATAAAAAAGATGCCATTAAACAAATATTAAAAAATATACTGTCTTTATGTTGTTTGTACGTCATTATACAGGTCAGAGATACGGCAGGACACACGGGCCAAGTGAGAGTTTACCCACTTAGTAAAGGTTTTCTTCTGGACTGCGTCCCTCTCATCTGGTAGAAAGAGAGAGTCAAACAACAATGCATATATTTTAGTGGTGTCAAAATTAGCTATAAAAGTAATTTTTTCCTCTTTTATTTAATTAAATACAATTTAATATTTATTTTAATATTATTTAATATTTTTAACGCGTTAAACTGAAAAAATGAATCGCCTTTGTTAACGCGTTAAAAATATTAAATAATATTAAAATAAATATTAAATTGTATTTAATTAAATAAAAGAGGAAAAAATTACTTTTATAGCTTTATGGATTCATCTATATTTAATTTAGAATTTAGTGTTTGATAACTTCAATTTCAATTTCTGTATATTTCTGTTGAAGGGCACACAGGTAAATATGACATTTATTATAATGGGTTTATGTGAAGATTGTTTTAAGTTCACTTACATTAGAAGTTATTTTTAAAAGTGTAATAAATGTTAAAATTAATAGCTCTCAATTATACTGTAATGTTGAATGGCTATAGTAAATGGTTAAATATTTTATAGAGAAATCCGTATTGGTATCATTGATACTGGCCTTCAGTCATAAAAAAGATGCCATTAAACAAATATTAAAAAATATACTGTCTTTATGTTGTTTGTACGTTAACTTGAAGATTGAGTGTGAAATTATTGCAATATAAAAGTATATTTAAAAACTTTAATGTAAGGTGGGATTAATAGCGATCAATTTCAGAAAAATGTGCAATTAATTCGTTAATTAAAACGATTGACAGCATATAATATATTTATATAAAGGATACACAATATCGGTACCATATCGGTTGTCAGATATATTCTCTATTTACCTGTGGCTCAGTGGTAGAGCATTGCGTTAACAGCGCAAAAGGTCGTGGGTTTGATTCCCAGGGAACACACATACTGGTAAAAAATGCATAGCCTGAATGCACTGTAAGTCGCTTTGGATAAAAGCGTCTGCTAAATGCATAAATTAGTAATTATTAATGTTAATCTTAAAAAAACACCAGCTTAATAATGCTCCTAAATGTAATCTTTAGCAAATCTCAGAATTAATATTTATTTTGCATACTGTACATTATAATGTTGATTTGCCTAAATCCATTAAACAATTGTTTTTAATTTTAGTGTTTTATTTTTGACAAAGTGTTACAGAATTTTTATTTTAGCCATTTATTATTTCTCATCCATAACAAGAATATGGATGTAGAAGAATATTGTATTCTTATTATATACACTACCGTTCAAGTTTGGGGTCGTTTTTCTAACATTTTTGAAAGAAGTTGCTCACAAAGGATGCATTCATTTAATCAAAAATACGGTGAAAACAGTAATATTTTGAAATATTTTTTACAATTTAAAATAAGTGTTTTCTATTTTAATATATAATTTATTCCTGTGATGCAAAGCTGAATTTTCAGCATCATTACTCCAGTCTTCTGTGTCACATGATCCTTCTTATTATTGTCAATGATGAAAGCAGTTTTAGCTGATTCATATTTTTGTGGAAACCAAGATAATATTCTTTCAGGATTTTTTGGTTAATAGAAAGAACAGCATCATATGTAAAATAAATGTCATTTTTGAGCAATTTAGTGCATCGTTGCTGGATAAAAATATTAATTTCTTTAAGAAAAAAAACTAAAACTACTTGACCCCAAACTTCTTAAAGTTAGTGTACACATATGCTCAAAAAATAGACACACACAACCACAGATCTAACAGATCCTCTACTCACCTGCTAGTGCTTTGATGCGAGAGCACTCAAATAGTTTGGCACTGGTGGTCTCCGTTTCCCAGAATCCTGTGCTTGAAGGCCTGTTGTTGTTGTTGAGCTGTCTCTGGGCCTCAGCATTGTCCAGGTCTGTTGAGGCACTGGCCATCGCGCCTGCTTCCTCAAGCAGCCCTGCATACAGTGCAGTAAAAGTCAGTTTCCACAGTACCACCCAAACACAAACCTTATAGAATCCATATCACTATTCATAAAAGGCACACAAACACAGACTTACATGCAGATATGGATTTCAGATACAATTTACAGTAGATACAGACAAGGTACTTTCAGAAAAATTAATAAGAGAAATGGCAACTCAACTTGGCCAAATGCATTTCTGACAATTTGTCTTTTTGTTTGCTGTCAGACTAACAGCTGATTTGACATATGTTTCTGAAATGCAATTTTGGCATGCAGTTTTAGTCTTTTCTTATTGAAGTAGAAAGAAGCTGTTCTAGCATGACTAGGAAGTAACTGCCAAGGGGGTGTTATCAAGATGAACTAACTTGTCTTAAAGGGACAGTTCACCTAAAAAAAAAAAATTCTGTCACCATTTAATCACCATCATGTCATTCCAAACCCATAAGACTTTTCAACAAATGTTCATTGGGGAAAAGTGTGTTTGACAACATTTCTGCTAATATTACATTGCTTTTGCATATGTCAGACTTTCAAAGTGAAATGTGCAGAGAGTAGCACTAAAAGCACGTTCAGTTTTATTTGAAGCAGTCAGATGAACGTGAATCTGGCAACGGTTTGTTATGTTGGTTCTTGTACGTATCACAGCAATTTGGAAATTAAAAGTATGGTGAGTGGTGCTGAAAATGTCACCTACACTAAACACTTCCCTAAAACTAACCGATTATGTTAACAAAATCAAATGTGACGCTTGCACCCATGCCGTTTTAGCTTATTTCTACAAGTGTTTGACCTTTATTTTTGAAGCTTACTCGTGATTCATGCTTCACAGGACTTGTACCTAAATGCTATCAATGCTGCACCAGGTGTGCTACCGAGCAAGTTTACCGTCAGAAAAGTCATACATATGGAGCTGGTTATGTAATGCAAACATCAAAATGTATTAGTTTTAGGGCTGTCATCGTTAACGCATGCGATTAATTTAACAATCCATAACGCTTTAAAATAATTTAACACAATTAACGCAAATTTACTATTGCACAATTTATATTCTAACCCTTTAACCCAATTTTGCTTCTCTGCTTGCGATTAGATCATTTTAAGCTGCTAAACTCCGGGAAAGTTTTCATTCCACTGATTCAGTAAGCGAATGCATTCAAACAATCCGTCCAAAACAGCACTGATATAAAGGAAACCAGGCTGATTACATCAGAGATTGCAGAGAGAACAGAGACTCACGTCGCGTTTTAAGTGAATTATTCATTCCAGTGTTTGGCTTTAAAACAGGAGCTCTGTCATATTCTGTGATTGTCTCTGAAGAGCGAGAGCCCTCACAGACTGAACGGATTGTCAACACATCCCACCGCTGTATGGCCAGATGAGACGCAAACTACATTTTCTCGACTGGATAACCAGTCTCGCTAGTAAAGTTTTGATGGATGAAGACTGAAATCAAGGTAAAGACGATTGCGGTGGCGTACAGGAGTCGTACAGTAAGCACGCGTGAGTCCCTTATAATAATGTGTGTATGAGTGCTCTTGACGCACTGATCGCACATTGTATTTATGCACATGCACAGACATTTCCGTACATTCACGTTGTTTCCACACACATTCACGATAATGTTTTGATTTGTCATGCTTATGTTGCTGTGTTTAGTTATTCTGAATGGATCTGTGTACTGTAGTAGATATATGCAGTCAGCAGGCGGTTGGTTTAAGGTTTTTTTGGCATCTCCATGTGGTCCTGTTCGGTATCGCAAATTCTGATTTTTTTTCTTTCATATGTGCTTATATGGGCTCCTTATATCCTTTGGTTCTTTGGTGTCCTTTTGGAGTTTCTAAGTGTCCTTTTTTGGAAAGACATCTAAATTTATCTTGAAAAAAGCTTTAAAATATAGATTTTTGAGAATCACCCTTCAATCTTTTGGTTTACTTTGCTGGATATAGCAAATGATGACAAAATAAACATTAGAAACAAGATAAATGGTCTATGCTTAAGTTCATGAAGTGTGCGATTAATCGCGATTAATCACAGAAAAAGGATGTGATTAATTAGATTAACATTTTTAATTGATTGACAGCCCTAATTCGTTCACAAATGTTTAATTTATTTAATTAATTTTTGTTTTAGAAAAGTTAGAAAGTTGTTTTTGAAGTTGTTTTACTGCCTCTATTTAATCTGGAAACTGCTGTGAATTGTGCATTTTTTCCCCCAATAAGCCTGGGTTGACTTTTCTTTATCTTTGAAACACAAATGAAGATCATTTTCAAATCGGAGAGATTTTTGTTCCACCATTTCAAGCCTTGTTCCACCAAGTCTTGGACGCTTCAAAAAGTTAATAACGATATCATAAAGCTAATCCATATGAATCGAGCTGTGCAATCAATGTGAATAATATGTGAATAAAAGGCTAAATTAAACCTGTTCATCACATAAAGCAATCGTGTACCTTCACAAAGATTGGATTTTACCACTCAATTCATGTGGACTCATTTTACTAACCCTTTAAAGTGACGTTGCGCACATAAAGCTACACAGAGTACAAGTTTGTATGTTACAGACAGGGTTTCTCTCTAATATGACTAATTGGCACATCTAGTGCAATTTACAGTCACACACTAAAATATCTAATGTCTTAACCAATTTAATATGAAGAAAAATATTCCTTTGTGTTTATTTTAGCCACTTCAAGTAGTATTGCGGTGGTGTGCAATGACTGATGGGTATATTTACCATTTTCACTTTCTGTGAAGATATACTGTACACTTATCTTTTTAGTGTCTTTGAGACTAAGCCTAGATGCTGTCTACAACTAATGGCTTAATACCTTGTGATGTCTACTTTGCAAGGCACTGTGAAGTGATTGGAACACAGCCATGGCTCTAATGTAAACTAATGTAAGGCCTATTTGTGCAGTGCAAGCTAGCTTAACAGGTGTTTTGCGTCACAGTTATTAGCCTACTATGTTATCTAAAGTAGCTCAGAAACGCTGCATTGGCTATTCAGCATCCAGGACCGGAACGATTTGTTTTATGAGTCAGATATTCCTGTGAAACCACAACAAATAACTGTCCCATTTCCCCTCAAGCTGATGTACAGTAGCTTCATGAGAGGGTGACGTCAAGTGACCTTTTTACAGGAATACAGAACAACTGGGTCAATTCACCTACCCATGCAAGAGAGAGCACCCCCTATTTTTTTCTTCAAGTGAATTTAGTATGAATGAATTTCTAATAGATTTAGGAGGCTAATCCTTCACCCCATCCCCCTTCCAGAAGCCTTTCCACTGTCTGCCAGTGAACAACCAGACCATCATTGGTGTGCTGAGTGTCATACGTGCTGTTCCACAAATTTCCATCCATACAGTCACTGTTCTCATGGTTATAAACAAACACAAAGAGTCTTTGACAGGTGTGATCTGCTCTTTCTCCTCACACATTCATTGAGATTTCAGTCATTATTGTACTGAGAGTATGCAGCACACAAATGCAGAGCGTTCCCCTCCCCCAGTACTCATAAACCCAAAATCTCAACAGCACCATCCCCCCATAATAACACACACACACACACACACACACACCATGGTTTTGGACATCCTGACCAATATTCTAAATGGCACATCAAGAGATAAGCTGAATTTATGTTTTGTATGACAGAGTTATGCCATTCATTCTTATTTCAAATATATTTTTGCATTAAATACATCTTCATATTTCACTTTGTACATATATATATATACTTGTACAAATATATATATATATATATATGTGTGTGTGTGTGTGTGTGTGTGTGTGTATTAAAAAATGTATATTTAGTTGGTATTTTAAACGGCATGTCAAGAAATATGCTGAATTTGTTTTGTACGACAGATTTATGTCATTCTTAT